TCCTGACACTTGCTCTGATTGAATGTCTGTTTCTTTCACTCCTGTCAGGATAAAATCTTTTCTTTTTGGCAGATTTCCCTCGCTGGAATTCACTTCTGCAATTGATATGTTAACAGTGCAGGGCTGTGTATTGATTTTGTAAAACCTTTTACTTAAAATGCCAGGATAATAATTTACTTTGCTTGTCATTGGATCCCCTTTTGCTCAGGCACTGACTGCACTTCTTTAGCTGTGGATGTGAAATAAGCCTCATTGAAATTTGGCCAGATCTGAGCTGTAGCATTAGTTGTACAATGTGTTAGTACCCAAACCCATCATTTGGGAAGTTTCCATACCTTTCCTCCATAATGTGCTGTTACACATGTTCACTACATTAACACATGTACCTTTGAGGGGTGGAAATGTTCTCCAGGAGACCCACAATCCGTGACTGTCGAATGAATTCACTTGTGAACTCATTTTGTGTAAAAGGGAGTCTTATAACCATTTATCATCTTGAAAGGAATTCCTTAACCATTATGGAAAACAGCCACCTACAATTATCACTCAGTAATTTAAAATGCCAGTTGCTTTCCTTTCTGACACAGAAAGTATATGTCTATGCATGCAGTAAAGGTATTTAATAATCACATGCTGCATTAACAGGATAGGAAAATTAATCCTATCCAATATAAAAGTATAAATATCATTAGCTGAATCGAGATGAACGTGACGTTCCCGGTGAGTGAGTCTATTTTTGGGAAATCATGGGGTTGGAATAAGATTAAAATAAAAAAGAGGTGACACTTGGCTCTTCTTGCTAACTGTAAAATATTCCCTCTTCTATGGAGAGGTTGCAGCTTGTTCTTTTCATAAAACCTCTGGTTTAGCTTCCCTATAATTTCAGCCTGAGAAACTCCAGCTAAACTTTGGGGCTGAAGCAGATCATCTGACTACAAGCAGTGTAGTGACAGGACAAGGGAGGATGGACTCAGACTAAAGGAGAGCAGGTCTAGATTGGATATTAGGAATAAATTCCTCCCTGTGAGGGTGGGAAGGCCCTGGCACAGGTTGCCCAGAGAAGCTGTGGCTGCCCCTGGATCCCTGAAAGTGTCCAAGGCCAGGTTGGACGGGGCTTGGAGCAACCTGGGCTAGTGGGAGGTGTCCCTGCCCATGGCAAGGGGTGGAACCAGATGATCTTTAGGGTTCTTTCCAACCTAAACCATCCCAGATTCTGTGATTCTGTGACACAGACGTTGCCTGTTTTTGCAAGTTTACAAAACAGCTCGTTTGAAACAGTGGCTTGTGCCACCCTTAGGAACCCCCTGAGCTCCAGGACTGTTCAGACTTTTCACGAGGTAAAAATCTCTCAGTTGGAGTTAGCCAAAGCTGTTGTTTATCTCATGGAATATTTTAGAAGTCAATCTGTTCCTTCTGTTGTCGGTGTATTTTTACTCCGATTTAAATAGACACAGAACAAAACACTTGTGGTCTGTGTGTTTAAAGATCCTGCCTGGGCTCTTTTGTTCCGACCAAAGCTGCTGATGGCAGCCCAAATATCCTTTTGCAGTTCCTGTAGCCATCATAAATCTTCCTGCTATTGACCAAGTGTGTTCTTCCGAGCTGTTTATTTAATAAGGATCAACGGTGTTTGCATCTGAAACCATCGCGCCATTACGGTTTCGAGCTCCTCCGTAACTTTGCACAAGGAAAACACGCTTTGCAAAAGCTTTGATTACGGCAGCCAGGGCTGGAGATCTCCCCTTGGAGGTTTTCAAACTGTGTGTTTGACTCCTGAGTGCACAGTGGCATTTGGCTGCCGAGGCAGGCAGAGCCAGGGAGCCCATTACAGCGTGCGGTCGGAACAAGGGCTAATTCATCACCGAGAACAACTTGGGGCTGACACGGAAAGTCAGCGCTTCTTCAGGCACAGGGGAGCCAGCTAATTCTTCCAAGACCTTAGAGCACGTTATTTTTAGCTGGAAGTAACCACGGGCTGCTGAACACGAAGAGGACCTGTGAGAAGGTCTCGCTGCAGCAGCTCTGTGCTCCGTGTGCACCAGCAGAGCCGGCAGGGCCTTCGCATCTGACTCCCTGTGGCCATTCCTGTACGGACCACACACGCTTGGGTCACCCAAAGGAGAGGAACAGTCCTTTCTAAATGCCCCTTTTCAAAGGATTTAGGGACAAACAAACAAAAGGAGGTACTGCTTGAGACAGAAAGGAGTCAGCAAAATTGCTTCAGTTTGCTCTGTGCTCTCCATGGAGATGGCAATGGTGTCCACATACAGCTCTGGTCTCCAAAGGCAGGAGGAAGGGATCTAGAAAGGAATGCTAAGCTGTTTTCTAAAGGATATATAAGAGGTTACTGGGAGAGCCCAGAAAGAGCCGAGGGCAGCTGGACCCAGGATGACAGAGCTGGTACTGGAGTCCTTGTACTCAGCTCAAAGGCACAGCAGAGCAGCCCTCAAAACTGTGTGGTCACCACCAAGAGAAAGACTGAGTTAAGGGCCACTTTTCCCAAGGAGATGAACTAAGACTGACCTGGGTGGGATGGCTGAGTGCTATCGTGACTAGGAGACCTCACAGGAGTGCCCAGCCACACATGAACCCAATGATCTTCCCAAACCGACAGCTCTGGGACAAACTACAGTTAAATAAGAGATTTATCTCGAGGTGTCTGATCTTTTCAGTGGTAAAAAGTGGCTCTGGGGCACAGAGGAGTGAAACCAGTGTGGTGGGAGCTGCATCCTTGGAGCACGGCTGTGGCCTGAGCATGGGGCAGAGAAGGATACAGGGACCATCTCAGACAACATCCAAGAAAGGCTTCAAGTGGCAGCAAAAGGAAAGAAATGACAGGTCAAGCTCCCAGCCAGGCTTCCTAACCAGGGCAAAGAAATCTTTGCAATGGTGAATTTGGCTCTCTGAATCACAGCCCTTTGCTGAGCTCAGCCACACTGGTTGCAGAACCACCCCCAGGGCACAGAGATAAGAAAGCTGTTGTCACCTCAGGATTAGTGGGGTTTAAAATAAGCCAGAGAAGGGCCTTTATAAGGGAACAAACCCAGTGCAGCAGTGCCCCTGCTCTCAGTTCCAGCCCCAGGGACTGCTCCCTGCCTTGCCCTTGTCCCCTGTGAGACATCACATCTTCTACAGGTCAGTAAAAGATGTGCAGGTGTTAATCCAGGCTGTCCCCAGGTTCTTCTGCTGTGAGATCAAGCTAAAGATCCCAGTACATGCCATTCACTTAAGAGTTGGACTCGATGATCCTTGTGGGTCCCTTCCAGCTCAGAATGCTCTGTGATTCTGGCAGGAGGCAAACCCACCTGTGCTCACCTTGACTCGGGGAGAAGGGATCAGCAAATCAGAGGCAGGACTTGGCCCACTGAGGTGTTTGGATACAGCAGGTAGCAGGGCTTAGGTGGAGAAAAATGTTCTTTAATCATCATCTTTTACTTTATCTCAATTAACTCTGTTATGCTAATACAGTGTTACTGATTAAAGACCCTAAGCTCCCCTGTAATAGTCCTGAATTACTGTCAGGATAATGAGATTTCCATTTCTAAACGTCCTGTGCCTGCCATCCAAATCACATCTGCATTCATGTACATGCCCAACACGAATTATTCTCCCAACATTTACATCAAACATCCTTCCTGCATCAAAAACACTCAGTTGGAAACAGCTTTCCCCTGGTTTAGAGCTCAGCTCAGGACTATTATTATCAGCCCTGTGCTGTTACTGCTGTGTGTTTAAGCGGGTGTTGAAGGACGTTGGCAACACTTGGTGCACAAGGCTGAGCTCTGAGGGACAGGAGGTGACACTGGATGAGCCATTTTATTAATAGTGTCTAATATCTCCTTCTTGCACCAAATACAGTAATGATATCACACCCAGCCATGGTTAAGCATCACATTGCTGTTTCTAGCCAGGACAGAGGCAACAGACAACAGCAGTGTCACCATAAAAGTGAGGGCAGCAAAGAAAATGATTGCCAGGATGTCTGACAGGGAAGCCACCGCCCTGGTCACGCTGTTTGGTACAGCCAGGTGACAATCCCAGCTCTGGATCTGAACCTCAGCACAGCCCATCCAGTGAGAGCTTGTTTTAGGATGAGGCTGCTGTGTTGACCTGAGCTTTAGATGACCTCTTGTGATGCCACCTCCATGAACACACTCAGCTCAGCCTGCCAGGTTACCCGGTGGCACAGCACCCTCCAGGAGGAATCCCCTGCCTTGGCCAACTCGATTTTATTCAGATTTAATTTTGTTCCAACTCCCTCATTCCAAATCAGGAGCAAAATTTTTTTGCTATGATTTATGATGTATTAAATGTTAAAAAGATAGTGGCCATTATTAATGACATTTAAGTCTTTCCTAGCTGTAAGGTAGCCTAAAATTAGTTTCAAGGAAACCTGCACTGTGATCTCAGATACCAGCAAGAGGCCAAACACGTTACACATCCTCTTTTATGGTCTCACAGTATTAGCCCAATTTGCAGAACAAACACATTCAGCCCTCAGCCCCTGTGCTGTGACCCATGGATAACCCAGCTAATAGGATTGACACGTCTGACCAGCGGGCACAAAACTCCTGCGGAATTTGACGGGAGCGGCTCCACCTCCCGCGTCCTTCCCGCAAACCCTCTGCCAGCGCCTCCTCTGAAAGGCACTCGCAGCCCAAGCCAGGGGGGGCTGAACCACCCCCAGGACCAAGGAGCTCTCAGGTGCCTTTTTTTTTGCTTTAGCAAAGGTGTAAATGACTTTTTTTCGCACTGATAACTTGTGCAGCCACCCTGAAGGCTCCACGGAGCGAGGAAGTTGTATCCTTATGTTTTATACGGTTAATACTATTTTGCAGTTCTCCTCAAGTAATGTATGTGAGCTCCACTTGGATTTTGGTGTTAAACCTTCAAGTTACCAACATTTGCCATCAAAATGAGAACCTCAGCATGAGGTTCACTCCTTCTTTCCTTTCTTCCTAAAGGCAGCATTAGATTATTGTATCTAGAGGTTGTTACAGGGAAAACTGTACAAGCACTGAAGCTGGAATAATGTTTGATCCTTGTCCTTACAGGGAAAACTGTACAAGCACTGAAGCTGGAATAATGTTTGATCCTTGTGCTCACACGGAGAAACTGGTGGCCTATAGATTTCTCTGATTTTATATCTTTATCACGCTGGTAAGAGGATTTCCATCTGTTTTTTGAGAATCTGGGGTTTCCCTGAAAGGTATGAGGGGATCCAGACAGAGATTTTATTCTGTTTTAAAGACAGAGTCACAGAATAGCCAGAGTTGGGAGGGATCCACAAGGATCATCCAGTCCAACTCCTGGCCCTGCACAATCCCAACAATCCCACCTTGTCCCTGAGAGCGTTGTCCAAACCCTCCTGGAGCTCTGTCAGCCTTGGGGCTGTGCCCACTGCCCTGGGGAGCCTGGTCAGTGCCAACCACCCTCTGGGGGAAGAACCTTTTCCTAATAACATGTCCTTAATTCCCCTGGACTGCTGCATGACAGCAGTGGGGTTGGGAAGGGGGCTCTGGAGATCTCCACTCCAGGGCAAGACTACTGCCTGCACTCAGTCAGGACAGCCATATTATTATTATTATTATCGTTGTTATTGTTATTATTATAAAAGGAAGCTTGATTTATAGTCCTTATTCTAATCTGAGGAATAGAGCTGGCATAGTGACAAAGGACACAAATCACTAAGCAGCTTTAAGCACTGAGTTGAACATGATAACTACTAAACCCACTTAGTAGAAGCTCATGCTGATGTTAGTCCCATTATCAGAGCTGCAGTCACTGGGATCAGGAATTAGTTTTTAAAATACAGAGTTTTTTTCTTCCTTTAGGCTGGCTTGAAAGGCAACTGCTGCCCCTACAGGGAAAACTGAGAAAATCCAGCCTAGGAAAGAAACTTGTGCCCTCCCCGGGTGCCAGCACCACAGGAGGACAAAATCCCCAAACCATTTGGCAATGGCAGTTCCCAGAACAATGTGAGGTGAAGGACAAATACAGGGTGTGACCTGAAAAGGCCTCTGGACTCAGCTCCCAGGACGGAGCAGGAAGGAGAGCTGTCACTGGGTGACATCTCTGGGCTCAGCACAGACCACACAGAGCTTGACTAGGAGCCTCCACGTGTCCTTTGGCTCCTGCTGCTTGGATGCCGTGGAGGTGACATTGTCTGGAGCTCAGTGGCCTGGCACAGGGGGACAGCCCTGGACCTGTGCCCAGCTTCACTCCAGGCAGGCTTTCCTGGTGACTTGAAGATGATCTGGGGGCATCACCCTGTTTTCCAACTTGACATGAGGTGGGTGGCAGGTTAAGCGGGGAGCACATCCTCCTGCTCCACACCAGGAAGGCCACAGCTGGATACTGGGGCCAGTTTGGGGCTCCAAGGGATCTCCAAAGCCTAGGGACACCCCGGCAGGGTGGGTGGCAGCCAGGGCAAGCAAGGAGAGACTGCGGGAGCTGGGCTTCCTCAACCAGAGGAGGAGGCAAAGGGGGATCCAGTGGCACCTCCTTCTGCCCAAAGACATCTCGGAGACAGTGGGGATGGACTCTGCTTGGAGGGGCACAGTGTGAGCCCCTGAGGCTCTGGCACAGCTGCAGCAGCTGGAAACAGCAGCTGGTCCCAAGGAAACAGCCCATCCCCACCAGGATCCCCATCCCTGGGATGTCACCACTCACTCCAACACAGCTGCCAGGGACCTGCTGCAGCTGGGAGCGGGGATGGAGCAGAGACCCCCGCCCCAAGGTACCTCAGCCTGTAATGGCACATCTGGGGACATCAGTGTCGAGGTGACCATCTCCAGGACTTGCTGGAGAGTGGAGAGCTCCGTGCTGGCTGAGAACTAGTCCTAGCAGTTGGATTCAGAGAATTCCTGAAAGGCTATAGTAGGATGGGGCAGGGACTTCACTGCTGCTGCCTCTGTGAAGCACCCAGTTCCCACTCGTCTTCTTACAACATAACTGCTACACCCTTTGCTGCAAGAAATCTGCCTCTTCCCAGCCTCTGCCACACTGCTAACTCAGCCTGGAGCACTTACAAAGCCATTGCCTCCCGTTCTCCCAGGATTTTAGCATGCTGCTTGGAGAATAAACCTGCTGGCAAAGTGAATGCAAGGCAATCTTCTCTTTTGAAAGCTGGCAGCTCACCGGGGCTCCCCGAGTCACTGCAGAGACACAGCACAGGTGAAACCCCACCCTGGTGCTGCTGATTTCCCAGAGCAGGCTTTTCTCCTTCTTCTAACTCCTGCCTGGAGAGGTAACTGAGCTTTAACAATTCCATAATTAATGTCTCTTGGGCTGCTGGACCTGCCTGAGCAGGCAGGCACCGTCTGCAGGGAGGAGGAGGATGTGGCAATGCCGGCTTGGAGTGGGTCGGCTCCGCTCCGGGATCACCCGAGCCCTGCTAGTGCGTGTGTGGGCCTGCAAAACCCTTTTGGGAATAAGCACAGGTTTTCCAAGGAAAAAGGCACACAGAGACACGCAGCACAGCAACAATCCACGCCCACCTTTACGTTTATTTATTTACAGTTCATGTCAGGGGTGGGAGAAAAAGCTTTTGGAACGAGCAGCACTGGCACGGTGGGAAAAATCAAGGGCTGCAGCATGTGAGGTGCAGTTCCTATAGGAGTTTCCAAGCAAATCAGATCCAAACTCATACCACAGCATGCAGGAGGACAGAGATAATGACCCTGTCGAGCTGCTGGTGTAACACTGCTGTCCCTGTCCCCTGGTACTGCTCAAGACCCTGCAACAGGGAGAGGGTGGCACTCCAACAGCCGTGCTCCTCCCTGTTGGGAGGGGTGGAAAGCACGTGCTGGTGTTAAAAGCCATTGTTCAAATCAATCTGCTCCATAAACAGGTGCTGGGGACTGTCCTGAGGAGTTTTGACAGGGCTCCTTGGAAGAGGAGGCAGCACGGAGCGCCGGAGCCAACGGTGATGGAGAAAAGGAGGTGAGGGGTACAAAAAGCCTGGGAGCCACCACTTCCAGGAGACACACCACTTTCTGGAAAGAAAACGGCTTTTTTCCCTAAGAAGCACAGCAAACTCTGTTAGCAGTGAGACACTGCACTTTCAACAGGGATCCTCTGGGCAAGGCCGTGACAGCCTGTGCCTCTGGGAATCCCACTGGTCCTATAGTGAGAACTGTTGGCTTGTTTTCCCCTTGGAATTGTCTTTGCTTCCTTCTTTTACCACACCTCTTTTTCATTTTACTCTCTTCTTAAGTGGGGAAATGGTTTTTGCCCTCCCTCTGTTAAGAGCTTCTCGTTTTACTTCCAACTTTGACGCATTTTCCCCCAAGACACGTGCTATTTTAATCAGGAGCAATCAGCCATTAAAACCGGATTAATTAAAGAAATGAGTTTACGTATTTTCCCAATGATCTGAACAGGAGGAAAACTCGACAACCCTGCATTTATAATGCTGTCTGTCTGCAACAGATCACTGGCTGATACTGCTGATCTGAGAGGATGACATCACCTCCCCATTAATCACTGCTTGAATAATAAAGAAGCTGAACTGGAATCTCCTCCATCCTTTGGAAACAGGTATTTTGGTCTCTTTTCCCATTTATGTTGCAACTAAGAGCCCTGCTCTGCAGCTCCTTAAAGCCACGGCACGTGGATTCAATGCACCCTTTGCTTGACTCCATTCACCAGGTATTTAATTCTTATTTTTCACTCTGCTGCCACGTTCTTAACACCACTTGCCACCCTCAGGGGCCAGGGACAAAGCCCTGTGGGGCTGCACCAGTTTGGAGCGACCTTTATCGCTGTCTCTATTTCTAAGGCTTTTAAAACCCCGTCAAACATCAGGGCTGGCGTAAAATCACCGACTAAATAATGTCACGTGGGGTCAAAATGACACCAAGATGGCATCCCAAAGGCACCGAGCTGACAATGCCATTTGGTGTTAAATGGTGGCATGGACGAAGGCGCTAAATAAATTATACAACCCACAGAAATGGTGTCATCTGGTGTCATAAACATCATCAGTGAGGCAAGGATGTCATCAAGTGATGGTGTCAATGACTGGGTACAGAGTCATGGCTGCACTGAGACATGTACCTACGGTGAGCGTGGTAAGATGCTTATTGGGATTTTATTTAAGTTAGTTTAATATTAGTTCCTTAATAAAGTATCAGTGTGCTAATAGCCAATGTATCCTTTCTAAACAAAAACATCTCTTCAAGTGCAAAATCATTAATTTATGAATTATTGATCAATGCCTAATGATGGTGATCTATTAGCATTTTACCGTTGATCCATTCACACGTTCATTGATTTTGATTAATTGATTTAATCAAACACCATCAGTGTGGCTCATCCTCTCCCCCTCCCCTTCTTGCAGGAAATGATATTTATAAAATCATGGAATCATTTGGGTTGGAACAGACCTTAAAGCCCATCCAGTCCCACCCCCTGCCATGGGCAGGGACACCTTCCACTAGCCCAGGTTGCTCCAAGCCCCGTCCAACCTGGCCTTGGTGCTGGCACACTCGTGGCATCTCCCCTGCCCTTGGTGCTTGGGGACTGGTTGTAGCCGGGCAGGAAAGGTTGTTTTCAGGGAGAGAAGTGGCTCAGCAGGATTAAGCCCAGGCAGCAGCCCAGGACAGCTATTTCTAAACCTCTTGGATGGCCCTTTGTCATTCCCAGCAGAGAGGTCAGGCTCCCTGGGAATCAATTTGCACAGGCTTCAGGTTCATATTATTTGTTGGAAAATGCCCATAGTGGGGGAACAACCCCAGAAAGGGGGGATTTATTGTACCTTTACCCCGGGGGGAGCGTCAGCAACATTAATCCTATTAGAGCATTAGTAAGATGGGATGGCAGGAAACGATAGTCAGAGAGAAAACAGAGCCCTGCTGAGAAGCAGGAACCCTGCTAGGAACATCCATGGCTGGATGGCATCGCACAGGGGGAGCAAACGGAAAGATAAATGGGGATTGGGATTGCCGGTCCCCCGAAGGCTCCACTGCCCTGAGCCTTTTGTGGCTGGGTGGGTGCTCAGCACCTGGGGGGAGGTGAGCTGGCCCAATTCCCTATTCCTAAACCCTTCCTGGTGCAACTAGACTCCTGGAAGCCAGCCTGGTCAACTTGGGAAAAACCAGAACCAAGCTGGTATTAAACCTACTCAGAAATAAATAAATCCTTCTTCAGGGAGGAGAGAATTGAAGCCATCAGTGCCTGGACTGTCTTCAGCCACAACCCCAAAAAAGAGATGAAGTGACTGAACTGAAAACAAAGTGGCAACAAAAGTGAGGGGGAGGAAAAGAGGAAAAGACCTGCCTGGACTGGGGCAGGAGAGGAGTCATTGGCAAGCTGCGATGGGGATACATGTGGGGTTTGGCCTCTGGAATCTCGTGGTTAAAGCAATATTTGGTAGCTCAGAGGGTTCACAAGGTGCTTTCTTGTGCTATGGGAGAAGATCACGGAGTTCTGGCTCTGGTCCAGTCCAAACCTCCTCTTCCTGCATGGTTGGCTCAGCACTGCCCAGAAGTTGGGTGACCCAACTGGGCACCTGCGTTTCTCACTCATTTCCATGATGACTTCCAGGAGATGCCAAGCAAAGAGTGGGAAAATAGTGGCCAACACCATGCTCAGACTCTGGTTTCCTTCTCAGATGGAAAAGACACGTTTATATTTAGCCCACGAGTGCCGTGCTCAGACAACCAGGGGGAAAAACACACTGCAAATGATTTGCCAGGAAGAAAAGTCCAGTGCAATCTTCTCCAAAGCCATCCTCTTCCACCTGCATTTCCCTTCCCAGCTACTAAGCAGTTTGCACAGGGTGAAAGCCGGGCCTGGATCCTGAGGTCAAACAAAACTCCTCCCCTTTTCATCAGCCCCGATGAAAAACTGTGATGAGCTGCAGGTCGTGGCAGATCTCAAAACAATAACTTTCCCTCTGTTTGATTACAGAGCATTTTCCCTCAGAATGGCTCAACTGCCTTTTAAGAAGGCGCAGGATTTGACAGCTCCTTACAGAGGGCCATTGTGTTTCACCTGTTCCAGTGCATAAATCACTACTTATTCAAGCTTGATTCTTAATTTTGCTTGGGTAATGTCTGTAATCACTTGTTGATCAGGATAAGTCACGAGGGTTTTTTTCAGATATTTTATGTTTACATGCCAAGATCAGCAAAAACTGTCTCCTGCCCGATGTTACTGTAACACTCTGGTACATCCAGTCCCTCCCCTGTGTGTTTTCATCCTCCCATGCCTGGGAGAGGGGTAGCTGGATGTGTAGCTCTGGTATCTCCGGGATCTGCTGGCGAGGAACCACATTGGTGAGATAACGAGTGAAATAGGGGAAAACTTTTAATCAAACCTTGTGGATCTTCCCACGCTGGGGAACAGCCCTGCAGGAAACCAGGCTCAGCACACGCAGGAATCCCTCTGTGGGCTCCACAAAATGCTTGTGACCTTTCTGCAGGGAAAAAAGCCACTGGTTTACTTTTTTTGTATTACAGGTTACAATTTGTGAATGCAAGGTTTGAAATAGGACGTAAAGTGTTAGTGCTGATGGAACAAAAGTTGAACCTCTTTCTACCTGGAGATGGTGACACTCAGAGGTTGCTCCCAAGCTAAACTGTCCAGTGATTTTATGTTAACTAGGATTTTATTAATAACAGCTGACTTCTCACATCTCCAGAGCTCTCGATGTTGTGATGAAGAAGGTAAACAAAAGCATCTGCAAAGTGAAATAAAGGCAGATATTAGAGTTTGCTCCAACACTGTACACTCTGGACTCATGGATCTCAGGGCTGGATGTGCTCGCCCCAACCCTGTATCCCAAGGAAATGGTTTCTTGTGCCAGCATGGAACATACCTCACCTCCTGAAGGAGGAGGCCCAGCTCTGCCAGGATCACAGAATCAAAGAATAAATCAAATGGTTTGGGTTGGAAGGGACATTAAAGCTCATCTTGTTCCAATCCCACCCCTGCCATGGGCAGGGACACCTCCCACTAGCCCAGGTTGCTCCAAGCCCAGTCCAACCTGGCCTGGGACACTTCCAGGGATCCAGGGGCAGCCACAGCTTCTCTGGGCAACCTGTGCCAGGGCCTCCCCACCCTCACAGGGAAGAGAGTCCTCCTAATATCCAATCTGAACCTGCTCTCACTACATGCTCTTGTAAAAAGTCCCTCTCTATCTTTCTTGTAGGCTCCCTTCAGGTACTGGAAAGATGCCAGTCGGATTTAGGAGGTGAACTCCTCATACCCTCCTATGCCACAGCTGCTCTGATTAAGCCACACTGATGCTGGAATTTAATGTTTTAGGGGGGCTACATATGCTCAGAAAGGTTCAAGGTGCCTTCTCTGAGGACACACTCGGGTGCCCAGTTCTAGGCCCTCAACAGGAGAGACCCGGAGGGGCTGGAGCGTGTGCAGGGAAGGGAACGGAGCTGGGGAAGGGGCTGGAGCAGCAGGAGCGGCTGAGGGAGCTGGGGGGGCTCAGCCTGGAGAAAAGGAGGCTCAGGGGGGACCTTCTGGCTCTGCAAGTCCCTGACAGGAGGGGGGAGCCGGGGGGGGTCGGGCTCTGCTGCCAGGGAACAAGGGACAGGAGGAGAGGGAACGGCCTCCAGCTGTGCCAGGGGAGGCTCAGGTTGGCAGGAGGAGGAATTTGTTGCTGGAAAGGGTGGTGAGGCCTTGTCAGGGGCTGCCCAGGGAGGTTTGGAGTGCCCATCCCTGGAGGTGTCCCAGGAAGGCCTGGCCGTGGCACTCAGTGCTCTGGGCTGGGGGACAAGGTGGGCATCGGGCACAGGGGGGATCCATGGGCTGGGATCTGATTCTGTGATCCTGTCAAACAGTAGTTTCCACACCGAGGAGCGGGCTTTCCCTGGGTGCCCTAAGCTTTAAGGAGCAGCGCGGGGGGGACAAATCCCTTTGGGAACGCGATTTTTTGGGCGCAGCGCTCCCGCCAGCAACTGACGAGACACAAGATGGCGGCGGGGATGACACGGCGGTCACGTGGCGCGCGGTGCCGCCCGCCCCGCCCGCGGCCGCCGCACGGGACACGGGACACGGGGCACGGGATACGGGATACGGGACACGGGACACGGGACACGGGGCTGGAGCCGCCCGGGGAGCCGCCCGCACGGCAGCCGCACCGACCCGCACCGAGCCGCGGCTCCGCACGGTGAGTGAGCAGCGAGGCAGCGGCCTCAGCCCGAGCGCGGGGCCGGCGGAGCGGCCGGCGCAGGCCCGGGGGTGGCGGCGGGACGGGGCAGCGGGGACGGTGGGGACAGCGGGGACGGGCCGCTGCCCGAGGGCAGGACGCGTCCCGGGGGGCTCCGGCCCCGCAGCCCCGGGGAGTGCGAGGGGAGCTCCGGCCCCCGCAGCCCCGGCGGCTCCGGCGGCGCTCCGGTCCGCTCGGCGGGACTGGCGGAGCTCCGGTCCCCGCGGCCCGGGGGCATCTGAGCCCCTCGGCCTCCGGGGGGACTGGGAAGCTGCGGTCTGCTCAGCCCTGGGGGGCTCAGGGCCCCCCAGCTCGGGGGCTGCAGCCGATCCCGGGGGAGCTCTGGGACCCCCAGCTCGGGGGCTGCAGCCGATCCTAGAGGAGCTCTGGGACCCCCAGCTCGGGGACTGCAGCCGATCCCGGGGGAGCTCTGGGACCCCCAGCTTGGGGGCTGCAGCCTGTCCTGGGGGAAGTCAGGGCTCCTCAGCCTGGGGGGCTGGAGCCCTTTCAGCCCCTGGACCTAGGAGGGGCTCTGGTCCTCTCAGCCCCAGTGCCTGGTTGGGTCTGTCCCCTCCTTCCCAGGGTGTTGGAGGGAGAGGTCTGGTCCTTCCTGCTCCGGAGGCTCTGGGGGGACATGTGGTCCCCTCAGGTGGTAGTGTGGGGTCCCCCTCAGCCTGGGGGACCATGGGACCCCCTCCTCAGCCCAGGGGCTCCTGTCCCTCTGCTCGCTGGGGTGCGAAGGCGCGATGCTCCCTGCTCCAAAAAAAAGCTGGAAGCATCCACTGAGCCGGGAGCAGATCCATCCCATGCCTACGCCTGCGAGGGCCATGGAGGCAACGCTGGGGCTGAGGTTTGTGGCGTGGCACTGGGGACACGCCTGGGGGCAAAGAGGCTGGGAAGGAGAGACCTCGCCATCACGGGCACCCTGGCAGGCGGGTGTGCTCCCTGTTTGCTTGTGGAATGGCTTTGCCCACTGCCTGGCTGCAGTATTTGGATTTTTTGGGGTGTATAACGCATGTGGCCGTCTTTGTACTGTGTTCCTCCTGGAGGCCCTGTTTTGATCAAGGCTTCTAATTTATTCTGTCTTGTGTGAAAACCTCATTAAAGAGTGCCTCGGTGCCTCCAGGTGCCATAAGTACGTGAAGCAAGGATGGAAAGAGAGGGAGAAAAAGAGTATTATTTGTAAAAAAAAAATGGGAGCTCTGCCACACTGCCGTGGTGCTGCAGGAGCTTGCTGATGCAGACAGCCTCTGGAAGTGTCACTTGGGTTGGTGGCAGCATCGGCGCGTCGTGGGGCGAGGGCGCGTTTTGTAGCGATTCCTTCAGACCCCGTTCTCCTGCTTCAGGGCCACGTGGATGGAAGTGGTTTCTGCTGGATTCCGTGCCCGCCTGTGAACCAGTCCAAAGTCCAGATGTGACACCTGTCAGCTGAAATCAGTGGCAGTGCTGCTGTGGGTCTTGGTGGATTTGGGCTTGGCTGTGTGTTTTTGGGGAGCGGATGTTGCATTGGAGTCGTGTTCTGGTTTATTTCCAGTAGTATTTTGTCGGGGTTGGAATTGCTTCAGCTTTGTGATGTTGTTTAGAGTTAGGAAAGAGAGCGCAAATCTCCCCAGCTGGTGGCAAACAACAAATAATGGCTACTTTTACAATATGGGTAATAAACCCCCTTTGAATCCGGAGAGATTGCCTTGATTTTCCGAGTTTGGGCATGTGGAGCAGAACTAAATTCAGCTCAGACACCTTTAAACTGTGTTTGTGATCTGTGCAACAAGCTGTGATTCCCGAATCGTTTATCACCCTTCTTTCTCCTTCCACAGTATCAACCTGCAGACAACATGTCTGCACATGTTAATTAGCTTTTAATGTGACACTTACACATTGAATAAATCCAAGTAGGTGGATCCTTTTCGGGACTTGGAGGTATTAATGGGAATTATTTGGACTACTCGGAGGTAACGGTTAAAAGGCAGTGGTTTGTTATATACCTGCTCTCAATGTATCTTTTAACACTTGCCAAACTTGAATGGGTGCTGCTTTTAATTAAATAATTAGTGAGCTCTGCTCAACTGAACATGTGGAGGGGGAGAACACACTCACCGTGGGTGATGGCAACTGAAAAATTCTTCCCTGTCTTCTGGTTGCTCAGCGTTGGTTAATTGGTGCACTAAATATGGGTGGCCTGGGACTTACTCAGATTTAATAGCAATTTCAGCCTGGCCGTAAGGAATGGCTGTGGAATTAAAGGCTTTCTAACTGGGGCAGCAGGACATCCTGTAAAAAACCAAAAAATGCTCAAAAAGAATCCAGACCCTTGTTCGGGAAGGGCCTGTTTGAGTTAAAAAATAAATCCTTATGGCACCATCAAAACCCCCAAACTTGCACTAGGGCTTGAGGGCTGGTTTTGTTGGACATGGCATGAGGTCCCTCTCTCCCAGTGTGGTTTGCAGGGACACGTGTAGGGCAGGAAGGATTTTTAAGGCTACTCAGCAAGGTAGGTCCAAACTGTTCTTTGCTGAAGTAGAGCAGAGCAGCCGAATGCTATTTTAGTCATAATTCAAGTGCGACACATCAAACCCAACCGCACTGCTCTGAAGTAGAGGTGAGCTTAAAATGAGCTCAGAAACCTGAGGTTTGAGAGGTTTTCTTGGAATCTCGTGGTCACGACCTGAGCTCCCGCATACTGTCAGGGATTTTGGTGTGGGAGGAGGATTGGTTTGCTCCCAGGACACCAGCACACAGAGGCAGCCCTTTGGAGGGCTGGTGTGGTGCACGACTCCTGTGCTGGGGATTGGAAACTCCGTCTTTTCATACAGCTTGAATTCCCAAAGTGTGTGGCATCATTAAGTTAATTATTAAGTCCCATCCTCCCCCATCCCCAAAATGCTGGGGGAAATGCAGAAGTCTGAGGAAGGTGTGAAACCTACTGGCTTTTTTTTTTGGGATGCTTTCATCCCAAATATTTTTTTCTATTATTTTGAAAATCTGCTTATCAGAGGCAGTGTTTGGTGCAGGTTACTTGGGCTTGGTTTTCATGGATCAAAGGAACATCCATCTTAATAAGCTACTAAGTGTGTAGTTGGGGCTTGGAGCAACCTGGTCTAGTGGAGGGTGGCCCTGCCTCTGGCAGGGGTTTGGAACGAGATGGTCTTTAAGGTCCTCTCGAACCCAAACCATTCTGGGATTCTGCGGTGTAAACATCTTTAAATTGTTTGTCCGTATTGTTTCTGGTCTTGCCAAACATGTTAATGTAGTTGAGAGGGGAGAAAATCCCCCAAAGTACTCCATGAGCTTTGTTCTGATAGTGTTTGGTCAAGAGCTGATAAGAGAAAGTCTAATTTTGGAGACTGTAAGATGTCTCTTAAAGAAATGCAGCTTTTAAAATGTAGTTACTGCCGTAGCTGCTCTTTACAGCTCACTAATGCAAAGCAGAGAAGCAAGACTTGAGTGGAACAGAGCATGTCCTGTTGATGCTTCCTTGGTGTGCTGCTCTGGTATCCAATTACCCATCTGTAATCAAAGAAAAACACTAATAAATCTTTATTGGGAAAGCATCTTCCCTAGGTTTTGCTTGTGCTAATTCACTTAGATTTAAATGAACAACAACAACAAATCTCCCTCTGCTTAACCAGGACTCTAAAGCTGTTTTTCTCTCTGACTTCCCAGCGTGGTCTGCTTTCTGTCTCCCTGATTTTGAAGCTCTTTGGAGGTAGCTTGCTT